CTCGGTATATGAAGGCGCATCTTCTTTGAGAAATTTAGCCAGATTTAATGTTGTCAGATAAAAAGGCATTTTTTGTTGCCAACGCTTAAAATCTGACCCATTAAACTTTTCTGGTTTTTCTCCGATCGTATTCGGGAGTGTGGTAGCAGAAGTTGCCATTTTTAAAACACAATCAGAAGATCAACGGTAATAAGGAGTAGAAACAGAGACAAAATAATAATACAAATTCGTTTTAAGATTGTTGTTTCTAGAGTTTGACGTTACTCTTTCAAAAACCAATCCGACAGAATCACTTAATGTAAAGAAATGATCAATAGGATCCAAAAAGTAATTCGACCCCACCGACTTCACGATGTTTCCTTAAAACGAATTTGCTGCCTTCAATAGTGCTAAAGGCGTCCAGCAATTGTTTTCCAAGATAGAACGAATTTTCGTCTCCTATGGAAGCAGCACTGCAATCTGCAGGAGTTCCAACGAACTCAATGAAGTGTGTTTTATTTCGAGACAATATCAGAACGAGAGAGAGGGAATGAGATTCAAAGCACAGAAAGTTTGCAATGAAAATGGTGTAAATTTTCTGGTAGAGAGTCAGGCTATTTATAGACTTGTTCGTGGCCATTCGAATAGTCATCACCTTTCAGACAAGCCTAAAAAATTCGAACAGACATGTTGTTTTGAAAAGTCGCGTTTGTTAAGTCAGCTGGTCGGTAAACAGACGACTGTTAAAAGAAGAAAAAACACCCGGAAAGCCAAAATTTAAATTTCATAATGTACCCAAGAATTTGATTATTTACAATTTGGCTCAAAATTTTAAATAAATTTTGTCCAAAAAGTTAATATAGTGCAAAGGTCCACCCGCACCCGACCCGACCCGACCCAGACCGGACTCGGACACGGGCGCGTGCTCGTGCCGTGTCGAGCCGCGCTGCGCGCGTGTGAGTTTATGACCAAACCCAATAAAATATAGGTCTTCCCCCTTCCAAAGACTATTGATGCCCCTTGAGGCCCAAACCCAATTCCAAACTTCCACCTTATAAACCACACTAAAGTTTCCTAACTTTCCTATGTGGGATAAGTGTTTGGAAAATCAAATTCTTCCATAATACTTAGTTTATGTGGGTTATTTTAACACTTGATATTTCATTCAATTTTAAATGGTTTTCGACAAATAAATATATTACGTTAATCATCTAGCGGAGTAGAACATGAATATGCTAGGCTCCGTATTAATTAAAAGGTGGGTCCTACTGAAATTTGGGCTTAAAGTTGACCCATTTCATAACCATTTTTGCAACATTTTCATCTCTAGTAGTATCTCTAATGATAGTGTAAAATTGGGTATATTTTAATATCTTCAAAACCAATTTTGAATTATCATTTACATTTCGATGGATTTAAATCCAAATTCTATTCTAATGGAAAGATCTAATTTCACTTTTTGCCTACTGTGGATTTACAAAATGATGTAAATTTATTTATTTTTTTTTTACTTTTTTCTGTAAAAAAAAAAAAAAGCAATTTGCATCTCCTTTGCATTTCTCTATTGTAGAGATTGCCGGTGACTTTGAGATCTAAATCCCTATTTTACTCCATCATTATAGATGTTCTAACTACATTGAAATTAACAAATATATCATACTTTGTGGTTGTTTGGTAGAAATTTTGTTAATTGATTTTTTGACCGTTGGAGATCAAATGGGTCCTACTTGTGAGAGAAGAATTCAAAAATGACGGTTAGAATAGTGAAATGACGGTCAAAAAATTAATTTTAATTGACTTTTAATCCCTATCAAACATGCTTTTTAGAATTAAACTCCTTATATAGATTAAAATGTACCGAAATTATTATAGATAATGACGTGACAACACTGGATTGACTAATTTAAATTTTTTTCTGATCCAACATTCAACGAAATTGTGCCAATTGACAATCTGTCAAGTTATCTAGTAAAAATATTTGTACATGTATCATGATTGCATAGTTTAAAACATTCTAGATTCATGTGATCTACACAAATTTCTTAATGATGCGGCGTCATATTATAATCATTCAAGTATTATGGAACACGGGCCCACAACAAAAAGTTTCCAACATGCTTCTCAACATTAGCTTTTAAGTAAAATATAATAATATCTATTTTTCAATTTAATAAAAATAAATTCTGATGTAATAAAAAAAATTAAGTACAAAGGAAGATATATGATAAAATAAAATAAAATAGTAGCATAAAACATGGCTATGAAAGTGAGAGCTTAGGTACTATTGCCATAAATTATTTTTCATTATGCAGTGATTAAATTGGAAAAAAAAAAAAAGGAGGGGGAGGTGGGGGAGTCCTCTCCCGTACTATTTCCATTTTTTATGGGTAATTTTTTTTATTGGTGCAAAAAAAAAATATGTGTAATTTTTTGTTTATATTAGTTTTTTTTTTAGTTAGGTCCTGGATCCACCTCTGAACGTAAGATTACACTTCAATAATTTTAATAGCTATGTCATACACAATTATCTTATTTCGAGATGTAAATTAATATCATTTGTTGTATCGTACAAAAAAAAATCTTTGAAAAGTATGACTATGTAATTCAAACACTACATAGAGAACTTTACTAGTTGTGTTTAATTTTTTCGACTAGTGATATAAAACTAAACCCCATCTTTTTCAATAATGTGGAAATGAAACATGCAGTGTGAATAGTTGGTTTGTCGGGAGGAGGGGTGCAATGGTCAAAAACTCTCCAATACTTATTCGAGAATAAAGGAGAGTATAGATTTAAGCATCATAATATAGCTTATTTCGGCTAATTTTGCCATGCTTTTTAGAGTATTGATAAAAGTGAGGCATTTAGAATTCATACATCATAGATCGAGCACAAATTAACTTGTCATAGATTTCAATAAGTTGGTTGTCCTATTAATCATGGAACATGTTGATAATTCTTTCTCAAGAAAGAAATAACAATGTTACTTAAGCTCGAATCAAGTGAGCTACAATTTTTATATATAGTACAAAACGGATTGAATTTTTTCCTTAAAGATGTTAATAGATAGACTTCTTTTTTCTTTTATAATGTCGAAAATTTAATTAAATTAGTCGTGGCAATGGACGCTGAAAAATTCTCTCTTTTATGTAATTATAACAGAATCCTAATTAAGCTACGTTCGACAAATGTGGACTTCGTAGGTCAAGCATTTTGTGGTATAAAGACTTTTTTTTTTTCTTTCAAAAATTAATTTTACAACAAATTGAAACATTTGCCTAATAGGAATCATCAGTTCGGCCGCGAGTGGGGCGGGGGGATTAGAAGGGGTACTTGCGTAGGTGGGTGAGCTGGTTGGGGAATATAAAATATTTTTTTATTTTTTGTTAATATTTATTTAATTGTCTTAAGTGAGATTTATTTGTAGTTTTGTAAACTGATGGAACTTTATATTTGCAATATTTTTTATTCATCTATTGCTTTCTTTCATTTATTTAACGAAAATGACAAATCCATCACTTAATAAATGGGTTAATTTCACAAAGGTCATTAAACTTACTCGAAAATTACAAAACAGTTACTGAAGTTTAAAGCTTTCAATAACGGTCACTTAAGTTTCGGAACTCTTTAAAAAATGATCACTGAAATTTAAGAACAATTTTTCAGTTTTTTGTGCTACTTTTGAGTCAACTTTTCGGCCATTTCTGGCCGTCAATACCTCGAATTTTGATACAGTTGGAAAACTTATAATGTCCTCTTCAATTACGATCCAAAATCTCCCTTTAACTCCAAGGGATTCAATCTGAAAATCGCCGTAAAATTCACCTAGATTTTTTGGGTGACTTTTGCGATGACTTTTGACCACCAAAACCGTCGAATTTTGATACCATTAGAAAACCCACAATGTCCTCTTCAATTACCATCCAAAATCTCCCCTAAACTCCAAAAGATTCGACCGGAATAAACCCACAAATTCGGCTACCCAAAAAGGCGAAAATTTGCCTAAATTCGAGATGCTAATTTTGTGGGTTATTCCGATCAAATCCTCTGGAGTTGTGGGGAGATTTTGGATGATAATTGAAGAGAAGATTGTGGGCTTTCAATTGGTATCAAAATTCGGCGATTTTGGTGGTCGGAAGTTGTAGCAAAAGTCGCCCAAAAAACTGAAAAATTGTCCAAATTTTCGCCTTTTTGGGTGGCCAACTTGTGGGTTTATTCTGGTCGAATCCTTTGAAGTCTGGGGGAGTTTTTTAGTACTAGTTGAAGAGGATATTGTGAGCTTTCGAATGGTATCAAAATTCAACAATATTGGTGGGTGGAAGTTACCGGAAAATTGCCTCAAAAATAGTCCAAAAATTTTTAAAAATCTATCCAGATTTGCGCCTTTTGGGTAGTTGACTTTGTGGGTTTATTCCAACCGAATCCTTTAGAATTTGGGGAGATTTTGGGTGATAATTGAAGAAGAGATTATGGGCTTTTAAACAGTATCAAAATACGACGGTCTTGGTGGTCGGAAGTTACCGCAAAAGTCGCCAAAAAAATCTAAAAATTTGGGTAACTTTTGAGACAATTTTTTAGTCGAATCCCTTTGAGTTACGGGGAGATTTTGAGTGGTAATTGAAGAAGACATTGTGAGCTTTCCAACGATATCAAAATTTGAGGGAATCGATGGTCGAAAGTGATCGAAAAGTTCTTGCAAAAGTAACCCAAAAAACTAAAAATATGTTTTTAAACTTCGATGACCATTTTTGAAAGTTTTTAAATTTTAGTAACCGTTTCTAAAAGCGTCCCAAAATTTAAGTGATCGTTACTGAAATTTTTAAACTTTAGTGACCATTTTGTAATTTTCGCGTAAGTTCACTGACCGTTTGTGAAATTAACCCTTTATTGAATGGAGAGAGGTTGACTATGGATTACGCCAAAAAGGGCTTTAGGGTAGATTTCGTCGATATTTTGCAAAGATTGAGGTCCAAAATTGCAAATATTCCCATTTAATAATAGCCTGCACTTTTTCGAGGAATTATACTTTATTCTGAGTTTGATCTTACGGGAACGGCGCACCCAACCCAGCTGGTATGTTTTCTTATCGCATTCGCTTAAGAATCCTCAGATCTCTGCCAAAATTCCATTTATTTTACTCTCAATAGCAACACTCTTCCTCTCTCTAATCCGATAGTCTTGGATTGAGCTGATACACATTTTATGCGCAAATTTACATGGTCGCATTCACAGAAGTGTGATTGTGTGTGAGATGGCGTGTGAAGGATTGTAGAAAAGTAATGGGGTCTTGGAAAAAATCAAATTCCAATAAGAATTTTCTCTCTGCTTCTGAAGATAAAGACATGTCGGTCTCAGGCAAGTTTTTCTGTTTACTAATTTTTGCAGATAAAAAATTTGATTTTTTTTTTCTCACAGCTGGATCTTTCTTATAAAACATATAGAAGAAAATCCAGATTCGTGTTTAGGAGTTTGATATGAATCTGAATTTTCGATGGCATGATATGAGTTTGATAGTTTTTGTGTTAGATTTTATTTTTTCTGAATTTGATAGTGAAAGAGAACAATGTGGATAATGAGGCCAAGAGGGTCTTGATTGATTAGGTGCTCTGTATTTAATATTCTAGTGATTTATGTGTGTATTCTAAAAGTATATACCGTTAATGTGGGGTTTTTCAGCTGTTCAATTGACATGGGCATAGCTATTATCAGGTTTCCTTTGTTTAATTTTAGGGGATTCAAGTGCACACACTCACACGCACATATATCAATGACGTGTTTGTGAATGAGTATTTTACCAAGAAAACAGGAAAAAGATTTTTGATTGCTTACCCCATTGAGGTAAGTGAGACTTATTCCTTTATCCCTTCCTTTGCCTCCTCTACATTATGACACGTAGCTGTGGGTAGGTCATTTTGATGATCTTTAGCTCCCGAAATTCAAACACATGTTGATCTCGAATTACACTGTAATCTGCTGCATTTAAAGAGGTCCAAGATTGATCCGTTCAAAGTTTGCCACTTATTTGTCCTTTTAAGCTTAGCTAAACATGCTTTGTATGCTTACTAATGCAATTGATGCCAGCTGCTATAAAAGTTCGAAAAATTGCCAAAACCATTGCAACGACGAGAAAAATAATTCCTCAGTTATTCTTTCATTATTAAATGGGCCTGTGAGAGTGAGGGAAGGAGCTATGCTGGTATTTTTAAATGGATGCAAATATTCTTGGACGACTGCTTCATAAGTTCATGCTGCCTACTTAACATAAAATTCGTTTAGTTTCAAAATCTTGTCGTTGCTCTGTTACTGTCATAAATAAATTAACAAACTTTGTTATTAGCTCAGAACTCAGAAGCTTAGAAAATTGTTAGGTAGTTATTGGATATCAAGGATATCAAAGAACAACTGAATTTAGCATAGTTCCATAGTGGAAGTAGCCCTTAGTATAGGACTATGTTTATTGTATGTTTATAAAATGGAAAGCTATGCAGAATGTTACTTTTGATTATAACTATTGCAATAATATATAACTGCAGTTCTATGGAATATGAGAGAAAATTGAGGATATTATGTAAAACCCAAAAGTAACATTATTTAAGAGCATGCTGGCCTATGGTTAAAGCCCTTATAAGTAAATTGGTAAGTTCTAAGATAAATAGGATCAAAAAGTAACTTTCAATATAAGTAACTTCTCCGTCTTCTTTTTTTTTTTTAACTTAAAAATAAGTAAAACGTAAGTTTCATAGATGTGTGAGACAAAAAGTTACTGAAAGTTACTTTACTTTTTTAAGCTTAGCCAAACATGCTCTAGTAGTCATCCCTGGTATTATGAAATTTCTGGGGAATCTGATGAAGTATTCAGGTATTCCTTTTACCATTAAGGAATCTTTGTCATTTTTTTGAGTTGTCTAATTTTCTCTTTGCAGACCTCCGTGTTACACATGAAAAAGAACTAGAAAATTTGACTTTGATAGCACAGCCTGTTAAAACACTGAAGTTTTTCATTCTGGCTGTCGTTAAGTACCTCAGGCGCTCAGTAGCATATTTCTTCTTCTTTTTTTTTTTTTAACTTAAAAATAAGTAAAACGTAAGTTTCATAGATGTGTGAGAGAAAAAGTTACTGAAAGTTACTTTACTTTTTTAAGCTTAGCCAAACATGCTCTAGTAGTCATCCCTGGTATTATCAAATTTCTGGGGAATCTGATGAAGTATTCAGGTATTCCTTTTACCATTAAGGAATCTTTGTCATTTTTTTGAGTTGTCTAATTTTCTCTTTGCAGACCTCCGTGTTACACATGAAAAAGAACTAGAAAAATTGACTTTGATAGCACAGCCTGTTAAAACACTGAAGTTTTTCATTCTGGCTGTCGTTAAGTACCTCAGGCGCTCAGTAGCATATATTTTGTCACATGGTGGTTGGATTATGCTGTTCAGTACCATCATTGCAATAGCCGGGTTACTACTTTCGACTATTGATGGTCCTCATGAGAAGGTAATTAAATCGGTAGTTTCTCTTTTTTTTCTTTAAATTGTTCTGAGTAGGCTGAAGATTTGCCCTACTGGTGAATAAGCATCTATCTGTTGTTTCCTTTGGAATTACGCAATCTTACGAGGCACGATTCTAGGATGCTTCCTAAAGAATTCATTACATGACTGTGAATCAGTGATGTAAAAGCTCTTTGAGTCACCCTTTTTTTGTTTCAAGTTCAGATTCCATAGCTCTAGTATGGGCAAAGGATGATCATTCCTTGTTACATTGTTGTTACTGACTTCAACCTCCTGCTTTATCATTTCCAGTACTGGTTTGCGAATCTTAGATTAACGTTGATAATGATCTTACATTTGTCCTATCCTGTGCAGCACGTTGAGGAAGTTCTACGTTATATACAGTTTGGATTATGGTGGGTGGCTCTTGGCGTTGCATCTTCTATTGGCCTTGGTAAGTAACATTGGTCTTAAGACAAGCATTTTGTTATCTGATTCCTTGATATTGTTAAAATAGTTAGTAATAATGTTAGAATTACTTTTGGGAAAATTCTATAGTGCTGATGATAAATTCTGGGAATGCTGTTGGTTGTTAAGTCACTTTGGGCCAAAACTTAAATAGTAACCACTCCAATGCACCAAGTTTTAGTTGAGAATAAGAAACATAATATGTTGCCTCAGTTATGTGACTTAAGCACCACTCCCGTAAATCACCCGAGTTGGCAAGTTTGAAGATTCATGGCCATAGGGATGAGCAGCCAGTTGGGAAGGGAGTACCCAGTCAGGCTGACCGGTGGGGAATGGAGTTAGAAGCGTGACATTTGGATTGTTGACAAGAAACTGTTGGGGGGGGGGGGGGGGGGGGGTTTTTATTTAATTGGTGAACATCCTATTATTTGAATTCTTCTGAAGTAGCATGTACCCTTGCTGTCTTTGTAGCAACATCTTATCCAATATTTATTGAAACACATCATTGTTGTTATATTTTTCGTAGGATCCGGGTTGCACACTTTTGTTCTATATTTGGGGCCTCATATTGCCTTATTCACCATTAAAGCAATGCAATGTGGCCGAGTAGACATCAAAAGTGCTCCGTATGACACAATACAATTAAAAAGAGGGCCTTCGTGGCTTGGAAAGGATTGTGCAGAATTCGGCCTCCCTTTGTTTTCGTCTTCACATGGTATACAGGTTCCACTTGGTAGCATATTGCCCCAGGTCCAATTAGAGGCAGTCCTGTGGGGCCTTGGGACTGCACTTGGAGAACTTCCCCCTTATTTTATTTCTAGGGCAGGTATGAAATGTTTGAACCTTATGCAGTAACTTAACGTTACTTTTAAGTAAATTTTTATTTCTAAAAATGTCTGAATAAGTTACATTTCTCATGCTTATAAGTAAAACAGTTATTTTTTTTATATATGCATCTAAGCTCTGAGGATGATCATTAATTTTACATGAATCAAAGTGTCTTAATTTTAATATAGAGTCTTTTCCTTGGTATTAGTTAATATTGAACATGTTGAGGACCTGTATATTTCTTTTACAGCGAGCTTATCAGGTGGCAGAGTGGATGCCATGGAAGAACTGGATGCTTCCTCAAGTGGAGAGAATGGGATTGTATCTGCTAAGCTAAATCAAATTAAGCATTGGTTCCTGTCACATGCCCAATATTTGAACTTCTTTACTATTCTAGTTCTTGCTTCGGTTAGTTTTATGATTCATGCCCATTCTGTTAACGATTTATCATATGCAACTTGTACTTTTTAGATGATTGTGTTTACTGTCTGCTATTTTTAAGTTGTGCATTTGGCATAATGGCATGTAGCTACTTATGCCGAAATTCATACCTTGACCACTTTGTTGGACAATGTCACAATAGCATGTTTCGTTGTGCTTAAAAGTTACTTTTCTAAAATGTGAGTTAAGATTTTCTAGAAAAAGAAATTTTAGTTCAGATTGTAACTTTGAAAATCGTGTTTGGCTAGATAAGTAATTTAAAAGTAAGTTTGACAAACTTACTTTCAAGCACTAGCCTAACATGCTAAGAAAACGGCGGAGAAAATTCTGATCCTTTTCCCCTTGTTGAACTGAAATCCCAGGGAGATTGTTCAGTTTCGAAGTTTATATGCACTTGTTGACAAACTGGTGTATTTTGCAGGTGCCAAATCCTTTATTTGATCTTGCCGGAATCATGTGTGGACAATTTGGAATTCCTTTCTGGGAGTTTTTTCTGGCAACATTGATAGGGAAAGCAATCATCAAAACTCACATACAGGTTCGTAAATACCTGGGTTGTCAATAAATAAATATTTTGGGTGGGCAAAAAATACCTGAAGTAGACAGATTGGCCAATTTGGTGACAAAAAAATTGTTTCGGGTATGCTTGAAGGACCTGACCGAACCTTCATTATTGCTGTTCATGTTCTCTGAAATGAAAAATGCAATTACCTGTTTGAAGGACTGGAGCAAGCTGGTTGGTTTGGGTTCGGTTTGGTTCTTGTTATACATATGGAACCAATATCTCCATGTGTAAGATTTTCAGTTTGTACTGATTCAGTTTGGGTCTGAAGAAAACCAAACCGGTCAGAACCAGACTGAATCGGATTTTGGCCACCCCTTATAATATTATACTGTTCTTCATAACTTGAATTGCCAAGCTTTAAACCTTGACAAGAATTATCATAAATGTTACATCTTTTGCAGACGGTGTTTATTATTTCTGTGTGCAACAATCAACTTCTTGACTGGATGGAAAATGAATTGATTTGGATTCTCAGTTTTGTACCTGGGTTCAACTCTGTCCTACCAAATCTCATCACCAAGCTTCATTCCGTGAAAGACAAGTACATGGCAATGAAACCAAATTTTTCTTCAAAGAGCGAGGTATTCCTCATCTCGAAATTTTCCCAGTCGACATGCTGGATTTACATACTAAAAATTTGCATATTATTATCAGGTGAAGAAATGGGATTTCTCAGTCGCTTTCATTTGGAATACCATAGTATGGTTCATGCTAATTGGTTTTTTCGTTAAGATTGTGAACGCAACTGCACAAAGGTATCTAAAGAAACAGCAAGAAAAGGAAATGGCTTCTTTGAAGAACAAGTCATTGGAGATTTCGGGTGATTCTGATAATTCACCTAGATGAACTTCCAATTCTTCTTCCTTTTTCCTTCATTATGATTAATAGGAGTTAGAAATTTTAGTGACAGTCGTAGTCACAATTGAAGTTTCTGAAAGGAATATTCATCTGTAAGCCTGCAATTGAAATTTGTATAGAAAGAACAGAAATTGCAGGAACTATTAGTTGGGGGTGATGGGGAGGGAACTTACAAACCAATGTCAACAGTTTGTGAGTTCAGATTTGAAACTTATTGTTATTTTGTGGCATTGAAGGATCAATTATTTTCATATTTGGATTAGGATATTGTTCTCTGAGGGCATGTCGCCCTGGCATGGCCAAGTCCGTTCCTTGATTTATTGTTCGATAGAGTTTTGATGCATTGTATTATATCGGACAATGGGTTGGGGCTTGACTCCCACGTTAACTACTTCCAATTATTAGATATAATATTCTTGTGTTGGTCAACGCATTCAAATTCTTAGCCGTTAAAAACTGCTTTCTTGGCACTTTACGGTTCAATATTGATGTCTTGAATGTCAACTAAACTGGTAGTCAACACTTGTAGTGCTACATAGCCTTACTCGAACAATTATTTCACAAGAGTCATTGACGGGACATATGTCCTCTATTAAGTTGGCCTTGGCATCCATTCTGCTAAACTCATATTTACAGAAACTCGTCCTACCAAAATACCAAATATATCTTCTCACAAGAACTTGTTACGAATGTACCTATCCTTGTCCATCAGCACCAATTGAATCTAGTCTTCCACCTATATTCGACTACTTTCTAGTTGGTTGTGGCCTATTATTTTTCGTTCAGTCGGGTTGAGTGCTCAACGGGTTTTAAGGGCAATGTGTATATATATGCGGACCAGCGTGTATATAGTCTTTCATGGCAAATTAAACCTTCCAAAACAACTCTCTGCAGAGAAATCAGCGGGGTTATGTTTATCTTAGCACTTATGTTTGTCTTTTCAAGAAACACAGTTCACTTCCATCATTGTATCCACAAATTTATCCTAATTTAAATTTAGCAAATAATCTACTATTAAAGGTCCTTTTCTCGTGACATTGAACACTTCATTAATTTTCCAATCTCCCTCCAGAGAGCCAGAGTTTAAGCTGGAGAATAAGAGGCAAAGAATCTGTCATTTCCTATATCGCTTTGCCTCTCCTCTCCCTTGCATATGCTTCCAAAATCTCTGGGGAAAAAACAAAGCCATTCTGTTTTGAGATATCATTCGAATCCATTGCTACATTTTCCGACATCTTTGAGGCAGCAAATATGGCAAACCATGATGGTGAAATGTTCAAGTCTAAGATCACAGTATACGTGTTGGCATGTTGGATCCTTGCATCTTTTGGAGGTTTAATGTTCGGCTATGACATTGGTATTTCAGGTATGCTGATAATGCACTCTCGGACATTTCATAATATTGAGTGTATAAATACGCGTTATAGAATTAGCACGAAGAAATGAATTTGTACACAGGAATATATGTCTAAAATTTCTCTGATTCTGATTGCAGGCGTTTTTTTTTTTTTTTCAGGTAAGTGTTCAGTAGGCGTGGTTACTGGCATGGATGATTTCTTGATAAAATTCTTCCCAAAAGTTGAAATAAAGCTTCATGCATCAGAAAACAATTACTGTAAATATGATGATCAAATGCTCCAACTGTTCACATCCTCCTTGTACCTAGCTGCCCTTGTAGCCAGTTTTTTTGCATCGAAAGCGTGCAGTATTTTAGGACGCAAGCCCACAATTATGATGGCGTCACTCTTTTTTATTGCTGGTGCTGCATTTAGTGCATTCGCTGAGCAGAAATGGTGCTCATTCTTTGGAGAATTCTTTTTGGCATTCGAGTGGGATTCGGAAATGAGGTATGTGTTGGGAATTTACTTACACATGCACAGCGGAAAATTAAAATTATTTCGATTTCCACCGAGGATCCCTTTGTGTTTAGACAGAAATCATGATAAAGATTGTACCTTTGAAAAATTTTGTAAACCTTTTGCTTTTCTTTTCGTTCCAGAAATCTTGATTCGCCACCCACAGCTGTCTAATTGTCCAGCCTCCAATGATGATCCACACACAGAACGAGATTGCAGCTACCAGGGATTTCTCCTTTTGTGCTAAAAAGCAAAATTATGAGAAAAATCATATGGAATGAAAACCCTAGCGATGTATTTATATAAGCCTAAACGGGCCTGGCCCGTTCCGATCCAATATTTAATTAATCCATTTGATTAAATTCGGTCGGTGAATTAATTAATCCAATTAATTAATTCGGGCCTATAAATAATCAATCCAATTAATTAATTTATCCAACGATTGTTAAATTAATTAATTGACAAATTTGTAATTTTTCAATTCTCTTTTGTGTGCGACCCATCAGTTCTCGATCACGATATCTAACGACGTGAAATATTAATTTGATCTAATCAAAATTGATAAATTAAAACGTATTTTTAATTTATCATCAATTCACACTCGCCGTCCCATATTGACATCTAGCAATATGTCAGGGTAATACATGTGACGGAAAATGTACGTGGTATGACAAAATCAAACTCATTCGTTTACGGTTAAACTATAATCCCTTCGTCAATATGATCCGATCAATTACGAAATATGGAAGTGTGTCAATCACGATTAACGATCCTATCTTTCACTCCACTATTAAGTCAATATAAGTCAAAAACTCATTTTCGACTTATGAGTACACTTTAGCCAAGGATTTCATGATCGACTTAATTAAATGAAACGCAAATCATAATCTCCTACTATCTAAGAGTAACGAATTCTTTATTGATCAATCACAACATTCATACGATTCTTGACGTACCCGAACGATGTCGTATTAGCGGCCCTTTGTAGAGCAACATCCAACACCGCCAAAATATGACTATCCTCATATAAGGTACCATAACGACCTCAAGTCAAATGACCAATTCCACTACCGAACGTTAGAGATTAACAATTGACACTCAAATAGTTATCCATGTGGAATCTCTCGGCGGGTCTCCAATGTTTTGTTCTATAACAAAACATCCACGTGTTCATTTAAGTGTCACCACACTTTACCTTGTGAGATCAGCTACTTACTTCACAAGTAAGAAATGCCACACGTGATGGTCTATCTGTAATAACGATATCTGTATCTCGTTATTATTTACGACCACGGACGATTTAAGATTCAATCAGATGTAATTTGTATCTCACAATCACAACTCCTTGTGATTAACAAATTACGAAGATTTGAATTTACGAACTCTATTATTTATTAATTAAATTATAGATCTGCCATTAAATTATATTGATTATATATCAAAAGTATTTATGTTCAAAGTTAATTGGATCTAGAGCATAATACTTACAGTACGTGTGCTAGGTGCTTCCCCTGGATAGTTTTCTTGAAGAAAATGAGCGTAATATCTATGGTAAAGTGAATCAAATAATACTAGACAATACAACAGACAATAAATTAGTTGAAATTTTGTCTATTGTTCAATTCTACGTATGAAAGATGCCGCTAAATCATTTTTCTTAAAAGAATGACAGTATGTTTGATAAAGTGGATTGGATTGTTTTACTATTTCGTCCGTACCAATAGTGCTCATCAAATTAACATATCCCTACAATGTTTCTTCAAAGATTAATTATGTGAAGTGCTTTGAATTGCAGGCTGTTCCCTTGTTTTTGACAGAAGTTGCACCTATACAACACAGAGGGGCTTTATAACAACAGGGATTTTCATAGCTAACCTCGTGAATTATGTCACCTCAACGGTGCATCCATATGGGGGGAGATTGTCATTAGGGTTAGCATCTGTTCCTGCAATTGTTTTGTTTCTTGGCTTTCTGATCATTACTGAAAGTCCACCCAGCCTCGTCGAACGCAGCAAAGAAACAGAAAGAAAAGCCAGCCCTAATCAAGATTAGAGGAGTCGATAATGTTGATTCTGAATTTGAACAGATTGTTGAAGCCTGTGAACAAGCCCGCCAAGTTAAACAGCCATTCAAGAAACTCTTCAAGAAAGATAGCATGCTTTTACTTATTATTGCCATAGCTATGCAGATTTTCCAGCAATTCACTGGGATTAATGCCATCATGTTCTATGCACCGGTTCTTTTCCAGACATTGGGATTTAAGACTGATGCATCCTTGTTATCATCGGTGATCACCGTTCTGGTTAATGTTGGCAGCACTTTCGTATCAATCTTTTCTGTTGATAAGGTTGGAAGGAGGGTTTTGCTGCTACAATCCTGTGTTCAAATGTTGATCTCCCAGGAAAAAAATTCAAAATCTATTGTCATTTCGTTGGAATAGTTAATCACTTCAATTTGGTTTGTGAAAAAACCCTTCCTGTTACGTGGCCCACCTATCTAAATGAATCTTTTTCATAACTTAACATTGTTGAATCTGCTCAATATAAAGAAACTAGATCATTACCATGTTCGACCAGTTAGACTTCTGACTCGTACTACCAAGATCACCCCACTCATATGAACGCAACTCTTTAGGTCTACAGAAAAATTTCTGTCACCAAACTGGCGGAAATGGGCCCCACCACCTCCAACTTATCCATCAATAAACTAATTTTTCACGTGACATGTAGCTTTTCGTATCTTTTAACCACACATTTTTGGAAAAAAAAAAAAAAAAAGAAAGATTCACTTTCTACAAAATCTATTTTAAATAAATTTACATCAAAAAGGTTCTAAATGTTTTTAAATGGAACCTTAACATATATTTGACCATTTTCATATGCAGCTTGCTATTGGATTCATCTCACATTTCAACTTGACGGAAACAGGTTCACTTGACAGAGTTCTTGCAGCAGTTGTAGTGGTACTTGTCTGCACATATGTAATGTCTTTTGCATGGTGCCATGGTCATGGGGTCCACTTGGTTGGTTAATACCAAGTGAAACCTTCCCTCTTGAGACAGGAACGGTAGGATTTGCCTTTGCAGTGAGTTCCAATATGATTTTCACTTTCATAATTGCATAGGCTTTTCTGTCAATGCTGTGCCATTTGCAGGCCTACATTTTCTTCTTCTTCTCTGCATGGATTTTGGTTATGGGCATTTTTGTGGTGTTTCTTCTGCCAGAAACAAAGGGTGTCCCAATTGATTTAATGGTTGAAAGAGTTTGGAAACAACATCCTGTGTGGAAGAAATTCTTTAATGATGGACCAAAGAGTACTTATGAGATGGCTTGAAATTCAACATTTTCTTTTTGTATATATGATATCTTGGAGAGGGAAGTCATTTATGTTAATTGTACATATGATGTATATATTTTCTTTACTTTTCTTTACTTTATTTATTTATTTTTTTTGCAGAAAGGAAATAAAATTTTTAATTTTTGTATTTGTATATAATAGTGAAGGTGTTTTCTGTGTTACACTGTTTCGATACTCTGGAAAAGTGATATATAATTATAATCATAATGACATGTAATTGTAATCATCACCAAAAAATTATGTACATGACAGACTAAATGGAAGAAAGTAAAAACAGCTCAAAGAATGAAGAAAGTAAAAATTATGCACTGATAGGGTAAAATATAAATGGAAGAATTTCTAAACTCCAACAATTACATTTTTAGCTACAATGGAAAAGGATCTTAATCAGGGACGGATGTGTGGGGGTGGGTCCCCCCCCCCCCCCCACCCTTTTTTTTAAAAAAAATTTTTTTTTTTTAATTTTTTTTTTTTTTTTTTTTTTGTATTAACCAGGTTTGAATTTTTGTAACCCCGTCTTGAATCCAATCCTAAATCCGTCCCTGATCTTAATGACATATGATTGTAATCATCACCCATAAAAATCACCTTAAATATGTGTGGGTGTTGTTTGGACCAATAATTAAATACTTACTCACATAATTTGACAATCGAACAAGCTATTTTATTCAAAATCTTCAATACTGGAGAAATTAATTATTTTTTGATCATATTAACTTCTTTAGTTCTTTTTATTTAAACTCATATACTCAAATATAAGAATTTTTCTAAATTAACAACCATAAGTATATTTTTCAATCAACATTAGTAATGGTATTTATATTACATTTCATTCTTTGTGAATTATTGAATGAGCTAGGTAGCTTGTGAAATGAGATATTGTCAAAAAATCAAATATGTACTCTTTTATCGTTTTGCTCTTTATATTTATTAAGATACTTTTGAGCTATATAATTCAAGTAAGGTGTAAATCCTAAAGCCACAAAAGGCATGCTCAAGTCGCAAGAAGTTTGAAACGAACTATCAATGGCAAATCTAGAATTGGAGGTTAGTCAGGGCAGAAATTGACCTTCGACTATTGATCGTCGACAATTAATGATCGTAATAATGAGGTCCTTTATTAATATTTAATTAAATAATTTTTAAAAAAATTCAATATATATAAATGCACTAAATCGTAAAAAAAATATACTTATGAAAGTATAATTCAATACAACAAAAAAAAAAGAAAAAAAATGCAAGATACAACCTTACTCCGTGATTGTAAACTTAAACAATTACATTCTACGAGACTCATATTTTGAAAATGTTGCAATATTATATCATTCTCAATTTTTCCAATTTGTCCCAATTTATTTTTCAATTAAAATTGATTAAAAAACAGAGAACACGAGGCAAAATAGAGCCCCAGATCTTCTCCACTAAATCACAAATTAAAACTCATAAATGATAAATCACAACTCATAAAACATAAATTATAACTCATTAGATATTGGTAATGATAAATCAAAAAAAAAAAAAAGAATTAAAATAACAACCACGTAGAGGAGAGAGAGAGAAGCAGGTTTACTCATAGGGGACTGGCGAACTAAGACCGCGTGCTGGAGAGACTGACGACAACTCGCCAACAAGCGACTACGGCAACAATGGTTAGCTGCAGGCAGTGGTGGAGCATTTCGCAAGGCAACCGCATGGGCGTGGGGTTTTGGGAATTGGGGAATGTGTGAAATTTGGAATGGAATTGATTTTCAATATAAATAGAAACTAGTGGATTGAATTGATAATGAGAATCATTTTACTGGAATAATATAGGATAAATTCCCCAAATACTTAGAAATCTAAAGAATAACTAAGATTTTTAATGCTTATGAAGAACTTTTTGAGAAAACAAGAGGCCCAAATCCCAATTAAATTTTTATAACCTATTCGGCTGTATCTTCTTCAACCTGGCTCCACCTCCACCGATTCAAGATGCTAAGATGACAACTCTAAATTCCAACTGCCTGAACCCATCAAATGCTAGCTCAGCCACTACGAACAACATAACTAGATTTAAATTTTAAGATGCATGAACTTTTTAGTGAGTAATTTTTTTCTCAACCAATATTAGAAAGATAGGTTTTGGGACTACAGTCATATTCCTTCCCTGCAATTCCATGAAAGTTGGGTAGAATTCAAGATACGTCAAGTCAGGTTCAAGCCATGCACGGTCACCTCCCGATATTAAGGGAACTAGCACCGGCACTTCGAGCTAAGGTCGAAATCACTATATAAGAATACGTTTGATTGACATTGAAAATATCACTTAGAAATGAAAATGTTTTCCTTCTTTTGTGGAAAATAAAAACTACCTCCACCCGAGGAAAATGTTTTCCTTAAAAACAAGGAAAATTAAACATATTTTCAAAAGTTGGAAAATATTTTCCATGAAAAAAAAAAGCAATAAAACACGTCAAGTAGGAATTTGAGTGAAAAACTGATATTTTCCATGGAAAATAAATGTAATCTAACACACCCTAAATTCTTTCTTCATGATTATAGCAGGGTACAATAATTTGGAGTGCGGTCATGACATCTGATAAAACTGGGAAATTTCTATTCCTTTTTTGCCCCTGTAAGAAGGGGCAATAATCAATAATACAATATATACCTTTCCTAAAATAACCAAGTACAACTTTTGAGACGATAAAGAATAAAATCTACAGTTAAAAAACAGGAAGACAAACAAACTTGGTCCATGGTATCATCAGCGACACAGCCAACTTTAAACTAGAAGACCATCGAGTAATGGTTGTTCAGCATTTATTCTCCTCCTAAATTTTCTTCGGTCACCTTCCTCAGCTCTGCGGGGCGTAAAGGGGAGAAGTATATTAAAATCGGAAGGCAAAACCGATAATGGACCCAGATATAGACTAGTTTACAACTTCGAGCAGCAAGTCCAAAGCAAAGGAAAAAAAAAACCAAAACAAAACAAACAATTTGGGATTATATCAGTCAAAATAGTAGTAGGTTCACCACTATAAGATCATCGTCCTGCAACAAATACATAGATAAGATAAATGAAGTAGCTTCACACGTTAACCATTATTCAAGTGACAATTTGGCAAGAGTATAGTGGTAGTCGACTACCTAGAGAAAAAGGTTGACATTTGATAATATAAACTTTTTAGTAACACTCGTACTTGCAATCAGCAAGCAGAAAACCAAGAACAAAGGCCTCTGGAAGTTGATAATGCTCTGACTAGAATTAAACCAGAATGCAAAGGTGGCTACCTACATATACTGACTTATCGGCGCTTCACACAAAAATAAATACAAGGTCTTGATTTATTCTTAGCCTGTGTTTGACAACCATTATTCCGAAACTCTATTCTACCTATTCATTTTTAACCACACATTCACATAATAAAATATTCTACATGTAAACTCAAAATTTTCCTTACTTTTTAACCACACATTCTCCAAAAATTTACTATTCAGAACTTTGTTTTTGCCAAATAATGGCCATCAAACAGGGGCTTAATGATCCTAATGCACAATACATAAACCTCATCTAATGGACTAGTCATTCTCAAGAAGCTGTGCAAGTCAACTCACGACACGAGTAAAGTAGCATTAGAGACCTTACACTGGTGGATTGAAGCTCTACACCATTTGAATCTTCATTATCCTGCAAAAAAAGAAAATGTTTTCCTAATCATCACAGAGCAGAACACTTGAATAAATCGACGAGAATTGAACATTCAAAGTACCTCTATTAACAAATCCTTTCTTGTAATCATTCCAATAACACGAGATGCACGTGGAACAACAAGTATATGTCTTAGTCCTAGTTGACGGAACAAATTATATACCTGAATCATCAAAACAGTGTTGAACATTCTAAGCAATCATTTGAACCTCATTACAAATCTAGCAAATTAAAATACAAAGCAAACACATTCAGACTAACTGACGATAATTGTCACCTTTGTTAATGACATGTCTTCAGGAACAACATATGGAGAGGGGTTCAAAAACGGAGCTAGATCAATGTACATTTCCAGATCATCTGCAGTTAGGTGAACATCATGTATAGATATTCCCTTACTGGAAACCGGTTTAACAAATTCTGTGAGATTGTGCCTGCAATTTGGAGGACCCACTTACTATTAGCCACCCTTTCTTCCAGTAAATCAATAAGCAGACTGGAAAAAATAAATCACCCCTCCATTTACCTGATTGGCAGAGTTCCACTTCTTGACTCACAGGGCAGTGGACTATGTTGAAAATCGGCCTTCGACTGCAAAAGCACTAACAAATGGCTGCAGCAGTGAAACAAGTACTTCAAGTTAACCAATTTCAATCAAATTGCAAATCACAACATATCGGTATCATTTGATTCTACGTTTCTTACGAAACGATGACATGATTAGAAAGTTGACAAAGGATATCCGACCTTCGCAGAATGAGACCAATAACAAGCGTTTCTCCACTTCTTGTGTGATCAATGACCTAAATGGAAAGGAAGAAAAAATATTAGTTAAAGCTCCAATATTCAGACAGTAATCTAGAGCAACGGAAACTTCAACTCACTGGAAAGCCATTGTGATTGTTGCTTCTCAAAATATAAAGAACATCAGCAACCTTGACAACACGAGGAAAATAGACCACCTAAATGATGTAGGAAGAACGTTTAGTTGGCCGAAAAAGTCCAAGGAAATTAAGAAAAACAAAAATTCATGTAATGAACTATGAACATTGTAATGTGAATAAAAATTCGAATTTACTAAATAAAAAAATTTTGGGTACCATGAGGATACATGTTAATAGAATTGTGTTTTGACAAGTTTTCAAAGGGCATTTTTCAAAGTGAACTATAGCATGCCACGTATTAGGGAGATTAGAATTTGGAAGCTTACAACGAATAGAGATTCTTTACAAAATCTTTGTTAAGAAAAAGGGTCATAGTATTTTCAAATTTTAGACCTCCAATCCTTCCTTCCACATTCAAGAGGAACATCTTGTGTTATTTAGGCATCAATAAAAACAATTATATTTATAGAGCATTGTAATGACAACAACCTTTTGATTCCCACATGCCTCCTTTGCAGTCATATTCCGCATTTGGTATTTTGGTCTTGATTCAAGTAAGGGAATGCCTCTAAGTCGCGCTTGTTCCTCATAGAGGCCTTCATTGAAAGCATCACCAACAGCCTACAGAGGGTAAAGTTGAGTATGAGATGGAACATGGCTTAAACAGGCGCAGAATAATATTTAGACTTCAAAATTTCACACCTTCGATATAAGGAGAACCAGCATGATAAGAGGTAAGAGCTTCAAATTATTCGTAATCTCAACCATGATTACACAAAGAGAAACAGTCATCCGCATTGACCCTCCAAGAAACGATGCAGCTCCTAAAAGAGCATATCTAAAAATTCCAGCAACATGGATATATCAGACATCATAAAGGATTCTATGCAAAAGATAAGATAAGATTTAAAAAAAAAATGTTGATAAAATTTCCCACTGGATGACTTTATTTCTTGGCAACCAAGACACGAGTGAAAATGCCCAATCAACTATCATAACAGTCTACATGTCATTAGATTCTTATAGGAATTATAGGCATCATTAAGGATCAAAAGGAACAACTATCTAGCAGATAAGTGGTGTCTAATTAAGCTCCTCTTTGATATCTCACAACCCATGAAGTCAAAATATTTAGTGTCTATTTGGCCTCCTTTTAAATTTTAAATTATTTGCTACAATATCATTCTCCACCACACATTCACGAAATAAAATATTCTACAAACAAATCAATAAAATTTCATTATTTTTTAACCACAAATTCTCCAAAAAATACTATTCAAAACTCTTAAATTTCCCAAATAATGGGTGACAAACAGAGGCTTAAATGAAAACCAAAGTTCTAAATATTTGTTATGACTTACTATATCATTCCAAAATTTTAAAATTGATAAGGCACTTCTTGTGAATTATCTGAATTATCCTTTGATTAATAAAATTAACAGATTATCTATCAAAAAAAAAAGAAAGAAAAAGAAAAAGTTACAACAGTGGATTATTGATTATTTGACTTCACGGGTAAAATTCAAGACTGCTAACCTCCTAATTGAACCTTAAATTAGTCCTTCAACATAAATACATCCAGTGGCATCACCACAATAGAGTTTTCAAAAATGATGTGTCAACAACTTTAACATGTTCGCAAAATGAGAAATGGAACTCACGTTCCCTCTTCAATATTCAGCCTCTCGTAGAAACTAACAACAAACTTGCCAACAAGCCGCCCGTACGTAGAGCCTATCATTATTCCAGGAACAAATTGACCAGCTGGAACAGTAGTACCGAAGGTCACCACAGCTAGAGTGTAAAACATAACCTGAATAAAAAAGCAAGGTAGAAGAATAATTAATCACCTGCACAAGGACATAAGATCTAGTTGACGGTAATAAGTTTCATAGATATATAGAAAGACTGATTTACTAATAGTTTTTGGGCTGGGTTTCTCTCTTTGTATCGTATTGCTTTGGTACCATCTAATATGGTGAGTGATGTCTTAGATATACATAACAAAAATCTCAATTGGAACATTGTTTTTGGGAATACATAACAGAAATCTCAATTGAAACATTGTTTTTGAGATGGGTTTGCAGGACTGGGAAGTGAATGATTATGCGTGCTTCTAACATCTTTGTATGAGGCGCACATCAAGATAGGAGAGGGGATTGTAGCAAGTGGAGGTTGACACGGGATGTTATCGTCTCAATCTGCACTTATTTTATATCCTCATTGGGATTTGTGGAGAGCTCATTCCCTTGGAATATGATATGGAAATGTAAATTGCCTCCAGGGATGACATTTTTACTATTGACGATTATCAAATGACAGGTGTTAATGATGGATAATTTTCGAACAAAAACCTTATAGAGTGGTGCTATATGTGTAGGAGGGATGGGGAGACGATTGATCACTTGTTCTTTCATTGTGAAGCTGCTCAGTTGCAGTAGAACGATATTCTGGCATCTCAACACATGGATTGGATGTTGATGCAGTGTATGGAAGACATGTTAAAGGCATGGAGAAGAAAGTTTAGCAATTTTTTAATTTTTTTGATATGCAATCAAGTAATTTTATTAATCAATGGATAGTACATGTGACGTGTATTATCAATTTAAACAAAAAAAAAAGACATGAAATTTGGCAGCCCTTTTATATGATTAGTGGCCACAACATTAAATTAAGTATAGAAAGTCATATAACAATTATCTAATCTACTCTGTTGTTCTTGTTTGGTCTTCGAAACAGCAGTTGTTATTTTTTCTCCATACAAACCATACAATGCATCCCGGAATAAGATTTTACACAAGCCTACTATCTTTATCTCGAAATTTTCTCCTCATGCCCGCAACACGTCTTCTATGCGCCTCGGCAACACCCAAACCAAATGTTGGGAAGCTAGAGTACCGTTCCACAACCACTGAACACCATCACAATGGATAAACAAATGGTCAATCATTTCCCCATCTCTCTTACACATATAACAACATTCGGTGACATAAAAATCTTTTCTTCAAAGATTATCCACCGTTAACGCTTGTCCCTCACAACCGTCCATAATAAGAAAGCCACTCATGAAGGCAGTTTACATTGCCATACCATCTTTCAAGAAATGAACTCTCCGCTGGTCCCAATATGAATCTAAAATAAATGCGAACAGAAAAAATATCGTCCCATGCCAACCTCCACCAGCTCCGATCACTCTCTCCTACCTAAATATGCGCCTTGTGCAAGGAGCTTGAAAACGGTGCATAATCATCCAATTCCCAATCATGTACACCCCTCAAGAAACAACCATTGTTTTGATGATAAAACACAGATAACAAAGCATATTAGAGAACTGTTTTATTTGACATTGTATGCTTGGTTTAATGCTGTGACTACTAGGCACATAGATGGGTTGTCCAATTTCATGTTATTCCTTTCTGATTCAAATTGATAATAAACTTCCTGTGTATTATCCATTGATTAATAAAATATTTGATTATTTTAAAAAAAAAAAGGTCACTTCTGAGTTTTTCTTATTTTCTCAATAAAGTAAACCAACTGGATCCAAGCTGATATGATATTTGAACACTCGAAGAAAAAGGAATTACTACATGAAATCACCCTATTTCGGCACAGTTGATTTTCCTTTAGAACCATTTTGAGGCAACATAAATATTTTTGTATTGAGGCTTGAATGTCAAATTGCTTGTCAAAAGATTTCAAAATTGGAATTCTTAATAGGAAACAATCATCCTTTGTCTGACCAAAGCTACTTGGCAGCCTTTAGAGACAAGATACTACACGACATAATACAATAAATGCCAAAGAATAGTGATCTCAGATGGGGATGTAATACCAAAAATGTCAGCAGGCTTTGCGCGCTAAATTCATGAACTGTTTTTGCACTAAACAGATTTCTTATGGCATCATCCTGAATATATAAAGAGACTACATTAGCAAAGACAACCAAAGCATCCATAGAAAATAATAAAAAATATCGATGTGGAGGAAATTTCAGTAAACCTGAGTGTTAAAAAATATGGTTGCGAGGTCGTTATATTCCTTCTTGTTACTGCAATAAAACTGTAGGTGCAAAAAAGAACAAGTGTGATTATAATGACATTTAAAAGAAAATGGACTAAGCTAAACATGACAACTAATGCCAAGCAATATGATAGGAGCTCTCAAAAATGACTAATGCTTGCACTTATCCTTGTCAACATATAGAAACCAACATGAATACTTCATGATTTAGGAAACATGTAAAAATTCCTTTTGATATCCGATAATAAATCTCCTGTATCTACGATTTTGCATAAATCAGACAAAAATAATCTTCAAATGATAATGAACTAGACCAGTGACCGATAGATAATTATTATATGATAAGGCATCAATGAAATAATTCCAATAAGGGAAACAAGATGCTCCTGTAACCCTCTTAAAATATCAAAATTCGAGTTTGGAGGATGACCGATGTCATATTTCATAACAGAAAGCGTAGTTTGAAATCTGATAATCTATAAACCAAAGACGTGCATGACTATGCTGTTATGATCCTCGGCATAACTTTAGGTGCAAACATACATTGTAATGCATATGCATAAAGTAAGTACTACAAACTCCAATGCTTAAGTGCAGAATTTCTCCATTATTGGACAATAAAGCAACACAAGTTACTGCAAAGTGAAAAAGAACGCAAAAAGCTATATTCCTAGAAAGATGCAGAAAGTCCAAACATACGGTCACAGAAGATCTTACATTGACATAATTGCCATACATTCCTGGTGGACGTGGACATTCAATACCGGAATTAGGATCTGCTTCAGGACATGACGTACATTTTCGGAAAAGTGGTAATCCAAATGAAATGACTGAGGTTATCACAGAGACAATACACACTTCAATGATCTGTAAAATTAAGCAAAGAAAGTCAGATTTTGCAATCATTTACTGTATAATATACAACATGTATAGTCCACATGCTCATCTCATTTAGGGAACTTACTTTGACACGGTTCCCTTTCTTATGCAAGTAATTTCGCCGCCAGTGAGTAATGTAAATTGTAAGCTGATTAAATAGTGCTCCTGAGAATAATTAAAACAACAGAAGATTCGGGATAAATCACATCACCAAGAACCCTTCTTTCAAACATTTCAGAAAATAATCTCACTTGGGTATACTTTAACATACCAAGAAGACCCCCAATTACGCCAATGACCGCCATTGGCAACAACTCCTGAAAGGAGTAATCTTCTTGACCGCTAAAATAAATCTTAGTTAGAAGGCAAGCGAAGGCTTGCAATAAATGTCAACATACAGATCAGATAAAGATACAAAAGATGAAAAGCAGAAAAAGGTTCAAATCCTACTCTGAGATGTCCCATATAATGAATCCGCCAGAACCAAAATGCCCACATTTTCCACTCTTACACCATCCCATTGCTGTACGTACAACAACAGCCACAATGGCAGATGTAAAAAAGACACGCCACATAAGCTGACTCCTCCACCTTAAATTGAATACGACAAAAACATAATGTCAGATAGAAATTACAATTAATAGAAACAGATGAACCCATCAGACTATTTAAGATACGGCCACGTCTACAAAAAGTTTAGCATTCATCGTTTATATGCATATGCATTTCACAGTGTGCATGAGTTGATGCACAATATGTCACTGAAATCCACAAATGACTTCTACCAATTTATGTACCATATGCATACTAATGTCAAAAGTTCAGATAAGAAAGTTCTCAATATCTCATTATTCTTCCCAATCAATAAAGTTTCTCAACTTTCTCAATAATAAGTTCTAAGTATTGAATCCCTTGGATGTATCGTTAGGTTGTACCCAGGTGAGAAAATATCATGAATTATTCAACTAGAACGCCAAACAGTTAAGGTAATCAGCTTAAGATCATGTTATAGATGCTGATTCACATAAAGCTTAGGCCATTGACGAGGGAAAAAATTACCATGATGTCACTTCTTCTAGCGCAAACAATACACCACCGACTGGAGCTCTAAAAGCAGCAGCCACTCCTGCCGCACATCCACAGGTGACCTTTTCAAAACATTAAACAGTGAAAAAGGAGCAATTTTCTCGGAGGCATTATATTATTATAACCTCTTTTTAATGAGAGACATCTGGATATAGAAGTCTTTTATATCTTCCAGAGGTTCATATAAGAGGTATAAAGGTCAATTTTAAGTGTTGAGCAATGGCAATTCTTCTCGACATATCTGCTCGAAGTCTCTTTTTAGAATACATGACAAGTATAGATAAAACATATGTTCAATCCATATCAAACCCCAACAAAATATTTTTCTGTGTTCTGATAAAATAGGTGTAACCACTCTTCCATGCTAAACATTTGCTACTATAATGCCATGTTCTATTACACTTTCTGGAACTAGAGGCTAAAAGAAAGTTAGCACAAAATCTGCAAAAAATGTTAGGAAAGAGAAATGAAAGAGGCCCTCAATAAAGAATGTATTAGCACTTAAGGTGCAAAGAAGATAATATAATCGAAGTTGCAAGAAAAACTAGATGGTAGTAATTGTTTAGCTATGTCCCAACACAACAAGAAAATGGAACATGAAAAAGGAAGAAAGACAACAGAATAAGACTCTCTAAAACAAGTGTAAAAAAGCAGATTTTATAAATACTATTAAAATCTCCAGATATAATCATTAACTTACAAGATCACGACGATCCCTCTCACTCCTAAAAACTTGTAACCATCTTGAACTAAGATGATATTTTGTTGTTCCACCCTGCATTTATGCATAAAGATGCATTTTAGGCTTGCAAACAAACACAAAGACAGTGACGTTGAACAAAAATTGCTTAAAAGAAAATGTGGTAGTGGGAGTTAATTAATATGAACTCATAAAAATTGCTCAGTAGGACATAGAATAAAATTTAGATGCAATTTCTCTTCACAAAATTCTAAACATAGAAATTAAATGAGGTCACTACTGGACACCCTCTTAAATTGCAACAGATTCATGATTTCCGATAAGATCGTGTCTTCTAATCATTACATACTTGACCGAGCAAGGAAGCGATACAAGCACCAGTATGTACAAGTGGACCTTCTTTGCCAAGGGCTAGGCCACCTCCCACTGAACCTATGCTTCCAAAAATCTATGACAAAAAAGAATGCACATAATACTGATTATACATTCCCATCACAATCATAAACAATAAGGAAACCAATTGCAATATGCCATCGTACCTTCCCTATCAATGTTCTGAACAGAAGTATACCATGTGTATCAATTCCTGCACATTTAAATGAACATCAGCAACAGCTCAAAATTGAAATCGCCACAGCCTGCAATTTGACTTCAAAGGGAAACACGATAATTCACCATTACAGTTTACCATTTAAATAACCCTTGATTTCAGGAATTCCAGATCCTGCAGCTGCTGGTGCAAAGTTTGTGATAATATATGCAGAAGATAACACAAGAGCCAAGTTGATCAACATATATACCAAGAATCCGGCCAGGTAGGACTTTTGAATTATATCAAATGTCAATGAATACTTCCAACCAGCAAAATTTTCGACAGAAATGTTGATGAAAACAGCAGCTAGTCCAGTACCTAGATACAAATGGAAAGTGTGTAAGTAACCTTGTTTTCCTAATTTATATTTGCCACGAAATTCTTATTTTTACTTGAGAGTTTGGAGAATTTAATTTTTTGTGGCTCATATTGCTTAAATTCTCCAAACTCTCAAGTAAAAATAAGAATTTCGTGGCAAATATAAATTAGGAAAACAAGTTAAAGAAAAGCATCCCCAAAACATGTATGAATCTTGTTTTTGGGCCAATAAAGGATTTTTTTTCTTTTGAAATACAAGTGTGGAAGGGGAAAAGGAAAATAAAGACTAGTCTTCATTTCTCTCCCACTCAATGAAATCAAGAATTAGATTTTCCCAATATGATCAAAATTTGTGAAAAATGAAAACAGAATAATGCAGAATTTTGATAATCAATCCCTTAATTTTTTGTATAACGCTCTCTTTTAGGGAGAAGTGGTTCTTCATCCTCTTATTTGATATAAATCACAAGCACACCCGCAGTCTAAATTTACACGTCTTGGAACTCCTCCATTAAATTATATTGTCAATTCTTTTATTCTCATCCCCTTAAAAATATTCATGGAATGGCCATCATTCAAGTGCCCATTCATTTAGAAGTCAAATTGATCCATGAAGTGTCAAATATGTTTTCTTAGGATACTCTCCTACTCAAAATGGTTATAAACGCTACGATATCATCTAAGAAATCTTTCTTCATAAACAAGTTGTCTTTCCTCAAACTTCTCTTTAGGCATGAGGAATATCTGTTTCGGGAAACTCTTTCACTGCTTACTGTTCAAACTGAGGTACCCTTCTCACTGCCTATCCTGTAATTTTCAAACCATTTGGTGATATTAACCATGATGACATACATGCTCTAGAGGAAACCCAGCAACCACACCTTGAGCTTCATTTCTAGGTGGCTCATCAAAATGGACGAAACATGCAGGTTGTTATCATCCTACATTAAGAAATAACATAGGTCTAAATGCCAAGGAAATGGAAGCAACAAGTATTCCTAGTCATAATAGCATCTATTTCTGAAAAATGCAGCACAAGAAGAGATGAGGATACTTGAAAAATGGCACTCTACAATTGATAGACCTGCAAAGTGGGAAGACTCTTGAGGGTCGCAAAAGGGTATTTATTTTCAAGCATAAGGCTGATGGGAGAGTCAAAAGATATATGTAGATTTGTTGCAAGAGGGTACACTTTGCCTACCAAAGAAAACCTTTTCTCCTGCTGTCAACATGAACGCAAATGCTATTGCTTCCAATTGCAGCCAATTTCGGGTTGTTTGTCCAGCAACATGATGTTAAGATGCATTCCTCGATAGGGGATTCGAAGAGGAAGTGCAAATGCAACGCCCATAAGGTTTGAGAACTGAGAAGGTTAAGGTGAGTCGATTTGGAACATCTTTATATGTTGTCCTATAACAGCCATCTAGGGCCTGATTTCATATTCCGAATCTATTAGAAGCTTGGGATATTCACAAAATCAAGACTGTCACAATGTGCTCTTCAAGCACTCAGTTTGGGGTACGATCACAATCCTCATAGCGTACTACATGATCTTTTCTTGATTGGTAATGACGCAGTAGAAATAAGAAAACTCAAAGCAGATACTTGTACTTGCTAAGGAAATTTAAAGGCATCGATAACCGATTGAACCTTTCTATACATTGTTCCCAATTATCACCCTCTTCATTACAATCTAAAATCCATTTCTCCACAGAGTAAGGGAAGAAAAAAAATGAATGGAATAGCAAGAAACCACATACAAAACAAGCAGGTTATTCCACATGAAAAACTATAATTCGAGAAGAACAAGGACTTATCTGTATACAGAATTAACAAAAATGCCTAAGTTTGTGCTTACAAAACATCACTAGTTCCCATAGTGTTGCAAGAAGCTACAATGTCCAGATATATGCGACAAAAAATTCAAATATCCAGTATTGACCAAAACTGCACACAATTAACTAGCCCTTCAGAATTGCATAAACATATGAATTTCACCCCTAGGTCATTAATATTATATTGAAAATCCAAAAACTCAACATTGCAAGCAAGATGACAGGAAGTTTTTACTAAATTACAGGTTAGAAGTCATTGTGAAAAATCCAAATCGCAATTAAAAGTTTTGGAACTCACCAATCCCAGCTAGCAAAGCGAAGAACCACTTCACCGCCACACTATAACCTGTATACAGTTTTCCTCTCTTTGCCTGTAATTCAGGATACCAGCTGAACCATCATAATCAAACCAGAAACATTATAAAGAAAATGGTAATCATCATGCCCTCCATTCTTTGTAAATATCATACACGGCCTTTTTATTCAAACTGATGGTTCTCTAAAGCTACTAGTTGTAAAAGTCTACTCCGTCCATCTTCCAAGTTCAAATCTTTTTTTATATTCTATCAGTGTTATCCTCCCCGTTATTAAATAGATTAAAAATTATATTTCCCCATAGAAATTAGATGAATAAACAATTAAACCCTCGTTGTTTAACCTGGGGACGAGAAGTAACAACTTTTAATAGTGTCACCTATATAAACATATAAATTAAACATAAATATGTATGCAATGGGCGTCTTTTCATGTTTTCCAGCTAGAATGTATCAGACCATCTAGTCTTCCAACCAAAAGAACTTTATGAACACTAGCTGCATTGGATTAGACTCAGATCTCTCAAAATTAAATAAACATCCCTCAAAATAGAAAATCAGCTGACCACTAAAAGTCCCCCACTAAACAAATAGCACCTGATTTGCAAATTGAGAAAGGTAATTTCAAAATTAAGCGACAGCATGACATACTGAATTAAGAAGGCACAAAAAAGGGAAAAAAAAGGTATCTATGTGTATGTCTAGAATACCTGTTCTTGTCGATAGGCGTAATTTTCAATTACTTCATAGTCAAGGCTCTCGACCGAGGTTCCATCACTCTTTCCATATCGGCCGAGCTCTTCAACGGCCTCACCGTCTTCCTCCGCATCGGAATTCGGCAGCCGCGACCACAGCAACTTCGCCGTCTCCATCCCATTCTGCAAATGATTCGACAACATCTTCCCTAGTCCCGAAAACCCCCTTTCTTATCTCTCAATGTATCGATATATAAATATGTATATAAGTATATGTGTATCAGTTGTTGAGCTCTGATTTGATTAAAATTGGAGCCCTAATTATATACACAAAATCAGCAACTTCAAAGAAATTGTTGATAGAACAAAATTATAATACGATGATTCAAACTTTTTTCAATTTTCTCAAATTTTACTTAGAGGCGAAGAGGAGTTTGGAGGAAGGAATTGACTGTCTTGTTTCTCTTTCTCCCTGTCTCTGATTTCTAGGCTGTCTAGCATCATGAGGAATAGATTTTGTGAGAATAACCAAATATATAGTAAATAAAAATATAAAATATTAAGCCCATATTTTAGCTCCATTTTTTTAAGAATGCATTCTTTCAATTCTTATTTTTAATTACATGTTCTCGAAGGTTTCATTTGTTTTTCATTAATGTAAGAATGAAAATAAAAAATATAGTCTATTGAACTTGCGTCAAATCTAAAAAGGTTATATAGTAGAAAAAGCTCTTTAAATATATTGGCCACTAATTATTCAGACTATTCATAACATTTTTTTATTTTTCTTGTTGACTTACAAGTCAAAATAGTTAATTGATGGTTAGTTCTCAAAGATTTATTATATTCATCCAGGGCAAACTTGGGCTTGTCAGTCTAACAAAGCCTTTTTACTTTTCCTTTGGGGGATGCATAGTTATACTGTTGAAATATAGCCCCGTTTGGTCCCCAGTTTGAATAATGAAAATGGGTAAAATAGTATTTGTTTGAAAAATGAGTTGTTAAAAAGAAATGAAAGGTTTTTTATTTACGTATAATATTATTTTATGAAAAATTGTATTGTTGAAAATAGAAGAAAGAAAAATGAAATAAAAATTAATAGGGATCAAACGGGGCATAATAAGGTTGACTAAGAATTCCACTTTGTCATGTTATGTGAGTGACAATAATGGCTAAGAAAATTGGGGTTTGTCATCCACTGATAGTGGTCCCTTTGTTTATTCAACTTACAAGTTGGGGTGGAAAAAAATTCAGAGACATGTTTAAAAGAAGTGAAAATAAAATTGATTTTTTGGACTAAGGATATTGTTGCAATTTGATAATTTTTTAAAAAAAAATTTAAGTAAGTTTCAGGGAAATTACAAAATGCACCATGTATATATAGTGTAACTAATTTCTCCGTACCGTGTTTTATATATTACGATTTGCAAGACGGTTATTAAAAAGCTCTTTGTAAAAATTATAAATATGCCATTAGCCCCGTTCTTGTAAAAAAAAAAAAAAAAATACATTTTTAAATAATGTATTGATGAAAAATGTGTTGTTAAAAATAAGGAAAATTTTTAAATTTACGTGTAATATTATTTTATTATAAAATGTGTGGTTCAAATAGGGTCAAAATATTATTCAATCATGCATTTTTTTTAAAAAAAATAAAAAAATGGGGCTCAAACAAGGGTGTAAATAACAATACTCTTAAATAAATTAACATATCACACCATGTAATTTACCATATTTAACATTTTGTATACTATTTCTTAATTATTGATTTTCATTAATTATCTTTAAATGATGGTTTTTTCAATGAGATTTTGAAAAATATAGAAATACTTCTCCAACATGGTAAAAAATAAAAATCCTTAATTGCTATTTGGTAGGGATTAAAATCATATTTTGATAAAAATTGATGAAGTAAATGGTTGAAAAGTTGTAGATCCCATAAAGTGTATGGTTAAAATTAGCTGTTGACTTTGATTTAAATTAAATTTTGGATTTTAATTTGTACCAAATATGGGCTTAATAATGTCTGTTCAATCATCAATGAATAAAAAAGTAAAAACAATTGATATTAGTCGTTATTTTGTAGCTAAAATTTAATTGTTCATTCATTTTAAGTTTGGATAATTTTACAATTTAAAAACTTTAAAGAACACAGACGTAATTTTATTGAGAGTTAATTGTGGGTAACTTTTGTTCTTTTCTATGAGAATAAGAAAGCTCCACAGAAGATAAGAATATATAAATATAATTAATGAAAATAAATTATTTTGTGTAAAAGATGACTTTAGCCTATTCATTTCTCGTCTATGTAAATTGTTTATAAGCATGCGAATCATTTTTTTATTTATACTGAAGTCATAAGTATACGACACATTTATCTATCAATCTTTTCTATCTATTTATAATTTAAATTGTTCATAATACTTTCAAACGCGCTTATGGAATGAGAAATGAATGAGAAAAAAATTTAATTTTTGATGAAAATGAAATAGTAATTGAACTTTTGTGTGTAGAGTAAAAAATAGTTATTGGGATGTAAAGTGTTACATTGTGTAATACAAATAGTGTCATTTGTTGTTTTCAATTATGGGTATTTAGGTTTATTTAACGATTTTTAATTGTAAATTTGTAAACTTTTTTGCAAAAGTTATTTTTTGTTGGAGTAAATATATTCACGCAACAAATTTTATTAACTACACCACGTTATAATTAAAATGAAGGTCCTTAAATTTTTGTTCATTTTCGTACTTATGTTGCCAACTTGGTTTGTCATATTTTAACCTCAACCTTATGACATTAACATATATTCCTAATGACGATCAAAAAAATCCTTAAGGATGAAATAAAATGATTTATTTATCATTTGAATATTTAAATACAAAAGACAAACGATAGTTACGTAAGTCGACATAATATTTTTCCCATGTTAAAATAATTTTTGAATAAAAACCGTTATCAAATAGCAGATGCATTAATTAATTGAAGGTTAAAGATAAAAAATTAACGAAAAAAAGTTGAATATATAAGTGCAAAATAGAGTAAAATTTAAGTAATTTAATTATAATTAAAATTTGGTGCAATGAACAAATAATATGGTGTGAATATAATTACTCATTTTGTTGCCATAGTGAATTGTAAATTCAAAAATTGTAGTATGGAAAGTGTAAATATATCCTTTATTGTAAAATCCACTAAATATAAATGAGTTATGAAGTACTTCCCATCAACTTTGCCTGCTATTTGGAAATTTAGACATTGAATTGAATGAATCCATCCAACATCTCAAATTTCAGAGAAGGACTTACCTGCGAGAGGAAGCAAGGGGATGAAAGCAGACTCCTATATTCTTATAGATGAAGGATGAATTTCTTGATTCATTTGATGTTGCAACTCATGATTTAAAACATCTAATTCTATATAATTTTTTTAGTTTTTTATTTGGTGCGAAATAATTTATTTTTATTTTTTTTGAAAAATAATGTTAATTAATTTTAATTGTAAAGTTAAGAGGCATGTTTGAGTGGAATGGTGACAACATAATCACTTACATATATAATGACTTTGGCCCCAAATGAAATCAAGCTTCGTGACCTTTCGAGGCCATGGTAGGCTCACATGACACACCCACCAATGGCACACAAGGGTTGGGGTTGAAGTTGTTAAACCATCCTCAAAGTGCATACAAAAATTTCGAATATGGGGGGATATATTGGGGTTTGTTGTATAAATGCCACTAGAATCTTAGCCCCAATTTGACAACTATTATTTTCAAACTATTTTTTCTGAATACTTATTTTCAACTATATATTTACATAATAAAATATTCAGCACTTGAATTCAAAATTTTTCTTACTTTTTAACCACACAAGAAAGGAGGGAGAAGCCGGAGAAGAAGCAAAAATTCAAGAGAAAAGGGGAAGGGAGATGTAGTGAGTGCATCAAATTGTGAAGGGCTCCATGTTTAGGTACTAAAACTAGAAATCGACTACTATGCATGCATTATCTTAGCAGCTAAATGATGTGCAATAGAGAGATCAATGAACAATAAGTTCAAGTAATGGAAAATAACAACTTGAGCATTATTTTTATTGCAAACTAATACAGTTGATAGATGTAAAATAGCAAAGAAAGGATCAAACACTAGTCAAGTTCTCCTATCAAGTTGATAAGTAGGGAATAATGGGGAGTCAACTCGTTCAATAATTCCGATCAAGTGGAGTTAAGACTAAAATTATCAAGGTAACAGCAATACACAAAATTTAAATGATGCAATGTTAAGTGAATAGTAGTATAGACCAACAATAAATAGAGAATAAGAGCTCCCTTTTGTCGAATTGCAGAGGTGGTGCCCACAAAAGCTTAAAGTTGCGGGCAATGTACTCACGAGACTCAAGAGAGTCAAAATGTGTCCCAATTATGATTGTCAAGTTGGCATGTTGTAAAATACTACAATCTAATACTCCTGAGCAGCTGACGGTTCTAGTTCTGTTGGTGGCGGCCGCGGCGACCTCGAAAGAAGAATTCAGTGACTAGCCTCAAGGATTGCTAGCAATTGGAACTTTTGGCAACATGGATCTTACAAAAAATCAATCAAGAGTGCCAAATTGTACAGACAACAAAATCCGATTGGACGAGCAAAGTTCCTTCCCAGATTTCGAAATTCACTGTTGTGGAGTTGTGTAGCTATGGCAGTTGCTCGATGGAGATGGGCCGATGGTGGTGGCGATGAAGGCATCGTCAGCAATAATAGAGTGGATACCGGCAAGAAAGGTTGCATAGTGGGCAGGAGCCAGTTGGGGAACAAAGAGGATGATGGGTCCAAGGAGAAGTTAAAGTTAGGGAAGGTATGTTTCTTGTGGTCGAGTTGATGGGGGGTGAGAGAGACTGTAATAGCGGAAGAAGGCGGCTGGAGATGGTAGAATTTAGGGTAACGATGACTGGAAGGAGGATCGATTTAGACAGAGATGAGTTTGGGTTACTATCACGAGTTTGAAGACGGGTTGAGTGTTGTAGAAGGACTGAATTATGAAAAGGGGTAATGCACTTCTTGAATTGGGTTAACTGATAATGAGTTTTAATTGGGATTGGGATTAATTTGGGCCAATAGTTTATGGTTCAAGTGTTTTGATAAAATTAATGGGCTAGGTTATGGGGTGGGCAATTTTGAATGGAGTATATGGATTAGGGTTTGTTGAAGGCAATAGCAAAGCAGCAATAACGTAAAAGAAAATATTCATTTTTTTTAAACTGATAAAAATACTAAAATTGAACTCTTTTTTCTGAGTGAAGAGTACCAGTGAACAGTAACTCTTTTTTTCGCAAAGAAATAATATTGAAAGAATGAAAACCGCTGCTCTTACATTAAATCTTTTTCAATTGTGTTGTTTTAACAAATTTTGGATAGAAGGCAAGAAGAAATTTTTGGATTGTAAATTAAACTTACCCAAGTTTGAGCTCGGATACCCAATTTGATGCATGATAGAAAAGAGGGTAACAAGAAAGGGGGA